CAACCAGTGTTGACACATTCCATAAGATGCAATATATTAAACAGTAAAAAAAAGAGAGGACATACTACTAATTAGGACATAAATAAAAAGGTGGAGTCAACCTAAACAGAGTGCAGAAGACAATTTGAGTAATTCTGTTTTCATCTTTAGCTTTTCATTGCAGGAAAATTTCAGTAACTACCTAGCAGGATTTGAAAACTAGTCTTTCAAGACAATGGATTYATGTAAACTGGCAACAACAACAATAAAAAAAAGTCAGCATTAAAATTAGCCCAGTTTCTGTGATGTTTTTGTACTGTTAGCAAGGGAGAAAACTATCCACACATCTTTATCTAAGAGCAGGAAAAACCTGGACCCAGCTACCACTACCTCTTCAATACCTTCAGTTCCAATACCTCCTTTTTCACTGACACTGGTTTAAGGTCACAAAAACCTGCAGAAATAGGAATTGATTCATTCATGCCAGACCTGCCGTTTCTCAGGCTTTTGAAGCATTTATATYGGTGCTTTATTATATTTCAGATCCATGCGAGCCGTTTGATCTGAAAAAGCAAGACAGCCGCACACCTGCAGTGTTTGCCCAACGTCATTTCACATTTATACGRGAATTTTATTACAATCCAGAGCTGAATGATGCGTTCGCGAGAAGAAGCAAGAATAAAAACAACAAAAAAAGTTCAAACATGCAAAAGTTGTCTTCATGTGAACAGTATGTGAGTGCACAAAAGTCTGAGTGCTGACTCCGAGCATAATCTGTCATGCAAGTGAAATATTTTGAGTGCCTGTCATTCTGACTATCTGAAATATCTTTCTGTCCATCTGCATCACAGTATTACATCATTTAAAAAAGAAGAAAAAAAAAACCACCTGTCTGTTTGCCTAATCTACTTCAATCTGTCTGCCTGTCAGCTCATGTGTCATTTTAAAGACTTATCATCCAGAATGTTGATCTGTCTGTCTGCGTGTGTCTGCCTATCAGCCTGTCAACTTCAATGTGTTTTTGAAATGCTAAAAGCAATGCCACTTTTTTTTCTCCCTTTATCCCCCCCAAACCTCAATACTATAGTGCTTCCCTGCTCTCTCCCTCATCACCTTTACCATCTCGTCCCAACTTTCTCTGCCCAACGTCCCCCTTCCCAACATCTSTCGCTGTCTCTTTTATCCCTCCTTCCTTCACTGTCTCCCAACTGTGACTGATCTTATAAATAGCAACACTGCAGTCGGTGGCCATTTGCTGTCACAAACGCAATATTGCCAAGAGTGCTTTATGTGCACCGGCCTGGTGTTGTGGAAGGTAACCTTCAGCCTAATTGGTATACCAGATGTGTTTCTTATGGCTTAACGTGCCGAGGGATGATTCATTTCTTATATTTGTAAACAAAAAATGAATTAAAAAATCATATTAGCAAATTACAAATCCCCCCAGGTTCATGACTTATCAAAAGTTGTTGGGGCTCAATGTCATTTTAAGGGAAGGCAATRACATTCAAAGCCTTGCTGTTACTTTTCTATTTAACCTTCTATACTCAAATTAAAGTAGCAGCAGAAATTTAATGCACCAAAATTAAAGGACCTAAACCGCTACGTGACATAAATTTGACTTTATTAAAATATGTTTTTTTACTCAATACACCACTTAGTACATCTTTTTGGACATGATTTCACTTAAATGTGAGAAAGGTTAGCTTAGAAAATAAGTCAAAATACTGGGTTTAAACTGTGTACCAAGATAAAATACAAACAATACCAAGTTTCTCACACTAATAATTCATGTAAATAAATAAAGCTTATCTATCTATATAATCATGWACMCGGGCACARATTTTAATGAAACTCAAAGTAATTCTGGATTGATTTTTGGAGTTAGCCTGATTTAAGATGGCTGCCAAAAGTGRTCATAACTCTGCTTTTAAAACACATTTTACATAAATAATTAATGTTCAGAGTAGAGAATGACTCACAACTGTGACTAGACCAAATTTTAGCKCAGTATCTGTACAAACAGAGTTATAACCAGTTTTTTGTTAGCTAACATTGATTAGCCTTGGCGGTTAGCTTAAAATGAGCTGACTCCAAMGGTCATTARTTGCAGAYATCCATCCAGTGGTTCATGACATTCGGCAAAATCTTTACAGCTGCTTTGCTTTTGGCAGCAACAGGATAATAAGCCTTAGAGCTTCTTGTTAAAAGCAYGAGTTACAAGGAACTCTGCTTTTTAAAATCTACTCTGCTTTTGTATTTCTGCACTCTTTTCATCTACTTTTTTTGAAACTGATTTAATCTTTTGTGAAATACTTTTTAAATCGCACTGAACTGACAACAAAAATAAAGTTTGAATATTTTCAGTTTCATGAATGTCTAATTTTAAAACCTCTTTTTWAAGCAAAGCCTAAAAACGACTGCACGATTCACAGTTCTGGGCAGTTTCTCATCGCAAAGGAGACGTTGACAAAATTATTCTGTCTGTTCTTTTTGCAAGTTTAAAGATTTACTCTGGTGTTTTGATACTCTGCAGATCAATGAGCGTCAGTGCGTCAGTGCGTTATATAATCCAACATCTTCCTAATTAAACCCAATAACTCCATCTATTAGTATTTCAGTTACTTTGATGGGAGCCAAATAGGATTACTGTCACACTGATACCTCTGAGTTTGCAAATGTCTGAGGCCGATAAGGGCTGTGACCTCTTCCCTGGTTAGTTGTGCGGTTCTTGCACAGGATGTGTGCGGTTGAACCACGTCAAGAAGCTGATTAAGAACAGCCGGATTTATCTAAATCTCTTGTCATGCTCCAACGTGTTATCTTTGTGTAATGACGCAAGACAAAGCAACATATTTCCATCTTTGATCATAAAACATCTTTWTAAAATTGCAAGGCTTTGATTGTTGGAAGAATTTTGGGCTTTTAACTCTCTTATCATTTTCTAATTAGATTAATTAAAGTAAGCAGCTGCGAGACGTTTTGATAGCATGGGGAAAAAAACCTGAGCCTTCGTTCGCAGATTAAAATACATACACACACCCACACACACACACACACACACACACACTAAGCACAACAAATACCCAGGATAGAAAGTGGAGGAAAAGGCTTTCAATAATCTTTCAATATTTCCTCTCCATTCACTTAACCTCATGCTGATCATTTCCACTAGATGCTAATAACTATTCATGCATCTGCAACGCTGACKGCATACTAATTCTGCAGGTGCACAGAGCCTTCCCCAGTCAGAGGCAGAGAGGCACGGGTGGATCTACTGCTCAGACTGAGCACAGCCGCAGCAGTTACTCAACYAAACTTCCTTCTCGGCTGTTTGCTACTGTGTGTGTGACCCACCGAGTGAAAACAAGAAATCATGCCAAAGCTTCGGCTGACAGGTGTGTAAAATGACAGGTGCAGGAGTATAATATTTGTGCATTCGGAATTAAATCCCCACATTTATCCACATATTTATTTAAAATAATATTTCTTATCAATGTCTAAGAACTATTTTCTATCTTGTTAAAAGATGACAAAGTTGTAGCTGTTTTGGTCAAACACTGTTAAAAAAAGAAGAAAAAAATGGGTGCACAATCTTATACTTTATTGCAACACATCACGCTCAGAGTTTKTGTTTTGAATGATTGTCATCKACTACCACATCAAATTTTAGCTCAATMTCTGCAAAATATTTGTGTTTTMTAAGGTGAGCTGTCCTTATAGATCATCCAAGGAGAACTCAAAGAAGAGCTGCTGTCTTCTGGGTGTCTCCCTCTGGAATATTTCAGAGAATGTCCCACTGAGAGGAGACACCAGGGCAGACTCAGAACTTGCTGGAGRGATTAAATGGCCTCTCTGGCCTATGAAGGCTTTGTGATCTTCCCCAGGAGGAGATGGAGAATTGAAAAAAAAACTTGACCTGTTTGTTGCCTTTATTAGCCAGTTATGGATAAGCAGCAAGAACTAAATAGATGAATTTTCAACATAAAACAGTGATGATTGTCTGTTAGCAAAATATCTGATGAAACTAGACAAAACTACAGACACTGTTTTGTTCATTTTACCATCACCAAAAAGGATAAGCAACTATTGTAGCTGTTTTAAAAAGCAAAACATGGATCAATTTTACTTTGTGAATTTTACAAAAGAACGTCAAATCAAAGAAGACAAAAGGACACAATAGCTAAAGATTAGGCCAATTTAATTGAACAAAACCAGTGACACATATAGTCACAGTGACAACCTGAGAGGGAGTTTGTTTTTTCTAAATTGGGCTAAAAGTGTCAGAAATTGGTGGTTATATAGTTCGTGTTGTATAATTGCAGAGATTGTTGTCAGAACAAAACAAAAAAACTGATTGGATAGTGTGACTTGTGTGATTTAGCTGTCTTTTCAAACATAAACCTTTTCCCCCTTTTTATTTTCTCTTGTAAAACAAAAACATGTCTTATTGTTCTGTGATTTATCCAACAAACCGGTAATGATGCTCCCTAAATGTCCACCACACAAAGTTAAAAACAACTGTCGACACCAACTTCCCTAAAGTTCAAACTCAGGAATCTCTGTGTGTTCATCATGTTATTCTTAAAAGCAAACATCCATTGTTTTCTTTAGACTATGCATTCTCTGTGCTACTGTGTGTTCAAGTAATTAAGAAAACAGTCAGCAAAAAAGGGGTTTCTAACACCCTGTGGTATAGTTTTTATGCTTTCAAATCTCTTGCTGATTTGTGGGCGATGTATTCTTATTTACTTTTAATTCATCGGAGAAAACTTAATATTAAAATCAGTTTTCTGCTTACAAATCTTCTTAATGTTCTAATCCCTTCTTTTAATGCAACACATTCAAAACCCGAAAAACTGATTTGGCCAAGTCCAAATGTATTCAGAACGTATCTACCAGTTAAGTTTGTGAAATAGAGATCAATGTTTCTCTCTTTTTACTGCACTTGCCACATGTTTATTAATCAAACCGATGCCTTAAATCACCCAAACATTTAGAAGATGTGTGTGTGTTCATACCTGTAYTCTTCTTGAGTGAACACAGGGATGACTGACGGCTGAAGGACAGTGATTTCAACCAGWGTCGTGTTCTGCTTCAAAGGCTCACCGTGATCATAGGCCACCACCACCAGCTGTCAGAAACACACACAGGAATATACACCGAGTCTGAATATCACCATATAGATTACATTTATGTAATGCTGTTGCTGCTGCTCTTGTTTACACTCCAACATTGCAAATATTTGTTGCATTAAGTGAGGAAAAAGAGGACGGCAACAGAATAGCAAGACATTAATAAATAAACAAAAAGCACATTATTTGCATAGACGAGAAAACGGAACAAGTGAGCTCYCTTTGGTATGATTATGGATTTTTTCTGCTTGCTTAGACTTCAATTAATTGGTGATAACAACTGTTAACAAGACCCAAAGGAATGGTAATGAGGGCCAACCCTAAATGTAAATACACTGAAATCTATTATCTAAGAGTACTATAATTCAAACAGGAAGTTGTTATAATTATCACACTCCCTTCAGCATTYACACAAAAATTATATAATCTAGGAACTCTTAAATGCATAACTCACCTATTAACAATACTTGTTCTTTCATACTGGCTCACTTATTTGGTCCTATACAGTTTTATTATGTACAATGCCACTGTGCCCCTAAAAACATAAAACTGTGCTTAGAGGTGAACAGATCAGCTTTTTTTATTTTTAAGTGTGCACTTTTGAAATCAGTTCAGATTTATAAAGCTAACTCTTTGCTTG